GCAGACGGTGGAGCAAATCCTTCAGCCGGCAGTGGGCCAGGGGCGAACAATGCCGGCAGCGGGAAAAGCATCGATTCCAGAGGCCGAAATCCAAACTCAGGTACTTTCGGAGGACAAGATGGCAATGGAGGTCAATCATCCAACAGGAATCCCTTCAGTACTTTTGGCACGAACAGGAACGGCGAATTCGGCAATGGCGGAGGTGCTTCTTCGGATGTCAGTGGTGGTAATGCTTTTCCAAATCTGCCGCAAAGTGGCCGTGGAAACTTCCAAAACCAACCAAATGCTGCTGGTGGCAGTGGTAATAACCAAAGAAATCTGGGCACAGGAGCTGGTCTCTTGAATGATCCCAGTGTCAATCCCACGGGAGGTCAGAACACAGGACTGGGTAATGTTAACGGTCCAGGAAGCAATTTTGGTTCCATCCCTGGCATCGGAAGTAATGGCAACAGTCCAAATAGTGGCTTTAATTCAGGAGGTGGATTTGGCAACCAGCAAGGAGGTGGAATTGGCAACCAGCAAGGAGGTGGAATTGGCAACCTACCTGGAGGTGGAATTGGCAATTTACCTGGAAGTGGAATTGGCAACCAACCAGGAGGTGGAATTGGCAACCAAGCAGGAGGTGGAATTGGCAACCATCCTGGAAGTGGTATTGGCAACCAGCAAGGAGGTGGAATTGGCAACCAGCAAGGAGGTGGAATTGGCAACCAGCAAGGTGGAATTGGCAACCAGCAAGGAGGTGGAATTGGCAGCCTACCTGGAGGTGGAATTGGCAATTTACCTGGAAGTGGAATTGGCAACCAACCAGGAAGTGGAATTGGCAACCAACCAGGAGGTGGAATTGGCAACCAACCAGGAGGTGGAATTGGCAACTTACCTGGAGGTGGAATTGGCAACCTACCTGGAGGTGGAATTGGCAACCAGCAAGGTGGAATTGGCAACCTACCTGGAGGTGGAATTGGCAACCTACCTGGAAGTGGAATTGGCAACCAACCAGGAGGTGGAATTGGCAACCTACCTGGAGGTGGAATTGGCAACCAGCAAGGAGGTGGAATTGGCAACCAACCAGGAGGTGGAATTGGCAACCTACCTGGAGGAGCATTCGGAAATCAACATGGCGTTGGCAGTCAATCAGGTAGTGGATTCCATAGTCCATCTGGAATTGGCCTTGGTAACCAGGGTAACCAGCCCGGCAGTGGAGCTGGCAACATAGGAAATAACAATAATTTCAATTCAGGATTAAATAGCAATCTAAACCCCCCCCTTGGCAACCAAAACGTCGGAGGAAACCGCGGCAACATTCCTCGCTTTAATATCGGCATCAACAGTCCCGCATCAGGATTTGGGAACACCAGAACTGATGTAGGGAATACCCAGGGGACAAATGCTAATAACAACCAACAAGGAAACTTCAATGGGGGTTCTGGCACAGGAATAAATAATGGTAGGAACTTTAATGCTGATGGGACAGGCTTTAACACTGGAGCAGCAGCTACAGGAGGTCAGAACAGGGGTCAAGGGGATGGGAATTTCGATCACTCGGCAGGGAATGGGGGGACTTTCAATGGCGGTACGGGCGGTAATGGAGGGGATGGTAATGGTGGTGGTAGCACTTTTGGCTCCACAGGTGGGAGGGCAAATTCAAACACTGGTTCAGGTTCAGCGGGTAACTTTGGCAGCTTTAATAGAGGCCCGAGTACATTTACAGCACAGTGGTGGATTCCAAATTTGGGACAGGCTTTGGGGAACGGTGGTACTAATGGTAATGTAGGCTCGGGTGGGAGAGGGAATGGTGGGAATCTGAATGGAGGTACAGGTGGCAGAGCCGGGATTGGACTTCTTGATGTAAGTACAGGTGGTAGAGGAAACAGTGCAGGTGGAAATGGCAATTTTGGGGCAGGCTTTGGAGGAACAGGTGGTACTAATAGTAATGTAGGTTCGGGTGGGAGAGGAAACGGTGGAAATATAAATGCAGGTACAGGTGGAACACCTGGGGTTGGACTACTTGATGTTAGTACAGGTGCTAGAGGAAACACTGCAGGTGGAAATGGCAATTTTGGGGCAAGCTTTGGGGGAACAGGTGGTACCAATGGTAATGTAGGTTCGGGTGGGAGAGGAAACAGTGGAAACATAAACGCAGGTACAGGCAGCAGAGCCGGGATTGGAAACGTTGATGTTGGTACAGGTGGTAGAGGAAACGGTGCAGGTGGAAATGGCAATTTTGCGGGAGGTAATGTAGGGAATGCTGCAGGTGGAGGCCTAAACGTAGGTACAGGAACAAGAGGAATTGGAACAGGTACAAGAGGAGGTGGGGCTGGAATTCTCGACACTGGTGCAGGTAACATCGGAGCTAGAAACAGGAATGGGGGCGGCGTAGGTGGTGGAGAAAACCTTGGCATCGGAAATGTTGGTTCAGGCACAGGCACCAGAGGCTCTAACCTCAACTCAGGCGGAGGAAACTTTGGTGGGAACCTGAATGCAGGAGCTGGTGGAGCAGGAAACGGCGGAAGTGGTGGTTTCGGCCAAGTTGGTGGCACAGGTAATGGAGGACTTGGGGGTTTCACCTCAGGTGTAGGTAGGACAGGAAATGCTGACATTGGAGGATTTAATGCAGGTGCAGGTGGAGCAGGGAATGGTGGAAGTAGTAACTTTAATTCAGGCAGAGGTGGAGCAGGAAATATCGGAGCGGGTAATTCCAACACCGGTAGAAATGGAAGAGCAAATCCCGGTGATGGAAGCCTGGCAAGAGCAGGTGCTGGAGGAGTCCCAAATTCAGCAGTTGGATCTAACGGTGCTGATACTGGAGGAATGAACCACAACAACGGGCGTTCAAATACAGGAGCCACCAACACAAGAACTGGTAGTCAAACTCCAAATGGAGGTGGAAATTCCAATCTGGCATCTGGTTCTGGAGTCCCGGGTACTGGTGTTCAGGGGAATGGCAATGGAAATGGTAATTCGCACCAAGGGATAAGAAACCTTGGAAATGGTAACAGAAGAATGAGGAATGAAAATGTGCCGTTAGATACCATTGGGACCGATACGCAAATTATACTCACAGGAGGTACAAATCAAAATGGAAGAGTCAGTCCCTCCCAGAATGGAGGCAGAGCGTCATCCAATGCTCAGGCGGGAGCAGGTGGTTCAGTTCCAAATCAGATGGCTACTGGAGGAGTCAGTGCACCGGGAGTGCACAGCAATGGTGGTTCACAAGAACCAAAACCTGTGGTTCACAATTGGAGTAATCAGTCCAAAGGGAGAGCAGGAGGCACGAGCCACGACGCCGGAAAAGGGATCCACCACACCAGCACAGGTCGGGCGGGCACTGCGGCGGGAAGCTCTCAGGAGGGCCGCCAGTATGCGAAATCACCGCCTGGTTCTGCCCCAAAGAAATCTGATGAATTCAGCACACATCCCCCTGCGGAAGGCGGAGTTACTCCCCTCAAAGTCATGCGCGGGTTCTCGGTGCAGCGCGGGGAGGTGGTGGCTCTGAGCACCGTCAAAGGCGGCGACAAGGACCTCTCCATTCTTCAGCCTGACCACGACGTCATCTTCCACATCACTCCGAACGCCCCGGACGCCGGCATCTCGCTCGTCGGACGCCCTGGCACCAAGGCCCCGGGCGCGACGGCGACGGCAACCGCGACGGCGACGGCAACCGCGACGGCGACGGCGTCGGCAACTCCCACCCGGAGGACGGTGCCCATGGGGAGGGCGAGGCAGAAGGGCACCCCGGGAAGAACGCGCGAGAGGGTGAAGATAAGACCCCACACGGGAGACCGTTCGCCTGTGGTCCGCCGGTGGGAGCACATGGACCACGAGGGCACCCTATCCAGGGGCCTCGTCAGGAAGGACGGGTCCTTCGCCTTCACCAACTGCCGTCCCTCTGAGGTGTGCGACCTAACCGACGGAGGTTGAGGGGGCCGCCCGTGGGTCACTTTACGGTCAGTAGAGAGTCAATCGCAGTCCCGAGTCTTAGCTAAACATGAAACCGCCCTCGACGCCGAAGAAGTCCCCTCGGTGCGGCCGGACGCTCCTCCTCCGAACACGGCGTGATGTTAACCGCGGACCACGTCGACCTCTGGCGCAACGAGAGCCGACAGTGTCTCCCGGTTAGCTGGCAAAATCTGTCATACCACACCTCACTCGTGGCTACCCGAGTGTAAATTCCAGATCATGTTCACTAGGTTAGGATAAAAATACACAAAAAATACAATAAAAAGAATACTAATTATATAATAATACAATCATCATGAAAGACGCCCCCGAGAGAATGATCGCCCCCGAATTCATGAGTGTGAATCTCATTAAATAAAAGATACTTATCTCTAAGCAGACTACCTCCTCATAATCCCCTCACATTCTGACGTCATCGGATGCGTCAAACGTTACGTGAGGAAGAAAAAACGTTCAGGAGACCGGATAAACGTGCCAATGGAAACGTTACATTCAGCGTAGTCGAGGAGTTGGGTCTTCCCGAAGTATTATTAGTGTGTAAGATCACATTGTCTTCTCACGTAATGGCAATAGTCACTTTTGTTCCATATATATTTATTCATTTCAGTGTACCAGTTTATTTTCTTCCGACTTTCTTCCTAGAAACCTTTTTATTTCTTTTTTTTTTAGTTTCCGCTCTGTGTGTGTATGTGCATGTGCCATCGCGTGTAGTTGTGTGTGCGTGTCTGTTGGTATGAGCGCGTTTGTATATATATATATATGATATGGAAAAAAAAGCATTTAAGACTTCACAGTTCTATGGATCTATATTTCTATTGTTTATAGTTATCAATAAAGTGTGATTGCAATAATCTATGCATTATTATCAGTTTTAGAAACTTTGTTGTAATATATTGTTTTATTCCCTGTAACAATTTATATGTAACTTATATTAACAACCATTTTTTTGTGTAAATTTTGTGTATATTATGTAAAATGTGGAAGGGCGCGGACCCCCTCGGCCGTGTGAACTTGACTCGTTGTAATAAACTAGTCGATTATGA